GAATGAAATATTTCAAAGTGTTTCTGGTCGAAAACTTGAGAGGTCGGTGTTTGCTACTGAAACTGGGTGATATAGTTGAGTGAGGATGGATTTGAAGGTGGCGCTGGATACATCTTATAAATGCGATTAGTTCTGTATTTTGTTTGTCAATGTAGCTCAAATAATTAAGGAGCTACACTCTCTCAAAGATCAGGAAAGATCACTTTAGGCGGGTTAGTAGGAGGGGTGATGTTGTTGGAAAATAATTCTAATTGCAAGATGAATATGCAATATAAGTCTCTTGTGTGCCACAAGTTGTGTTTTTCTCAATCTCAAGTTGAAGTCCTGCAGATTTGATTTTGATCTGAAGAACAGCCTTTTCTACAACCTACTCCGTCGAACACGAGCGAGCCCTTAATCAACTTTCAACAAACGTCCCAGATTGCAAGTCCGGATTCTGAAACACAACCATTGAATTAGATTCCCAAGATTCAGGAGGAGCCCGGTTAAGACTCAAGTGGAGGTGCACTCTCATTTTTCTCTTTTATTCCTGATCTTTCTTGTTCTCTCTATGGATTGTTTCTTTCATTCTTTTTCTTGCTTATGGTTCTGTTATTGACTTAAATATATGATTTCAGGCTTGTTTGTTCTTTACCTTTTATCTCCTTTCTTATAATCTTCAAGAAGAATCTCTTTTGGGTTAAGTAAGGATCTGACTCATAAGAAGGTACATATTTCTCACTCCTTTACTTATGTACTTTCTTCATTTCTTTATGTCTTTTTTCTTCTTTTATTAACATTTTATTTATCTTTTTCTTTATCAAAGTGTTAAATTACTACTAGCATTCAGTATAGTCTGCTGCAATAAAGTTAAAAGATCTCAAATTCCTACAGATGTACTAGGCGGGAGTGGTAGTACGGAAGATCTGTATGTGTGTAAATCCTTGCAGATCTTGGCAAATCCGGGGTGGATTGAGTTGAAACTGTGTAATACAGCCTGCAGAACCTTATTTACACGTGAGATAACTTAATTTTTAGACTTTGACCAGGTGTATTAGACCTTGACCAGGTACTAATCCCTCAAGATGATGGGTAATTGAGGCTAGATCCGCTCACGCCGTAGGAATGGTAGACTTTCAGGGTTCAGGAAAAAAACCTAGTAGTGTAAACAGGGTACGGCGGATCAGATGGCTGACTTAAATCGTTTGTATCTGTTTTGGTTCTTGCTTTGAGATAGTGTAGGATGACTTAAAATGGAAAAATAAGACTTTTTGAAGGGTCATGGACGTATTTTATAAGGGTTTTTTAACTTTTTTCTGTGTGGATGAATCAATGAAAATATCCTGAAATATTTTAGTGATTTTTTGTGGCACAAGATGAGTAAAACAGATAGCGTAAAAAATTTTATTTTTGTATTTTTGGTGTTTTTATTTCTGGTACTAAGAAAATGAGATGAGATGAGATAAAAACAAGTCTAATTTATTCTAAATCCGTGAGATCTATGATTATAGAGTTTGGTTGAGGCGGAGAACAAGCAGTGAAAGGTGGAAGAGAGAAGTAGTGGACTGTTCTAGACAAGATGTTAGTAGGAAGAGTTCTGTATTTTGGGGTTTCTTCTAGCGCTGTAAAGAAGTTATTTCTGTTTGTTTCTACGGTTTTTTTTACTATGGACACGTCCTCTTCTACAAGATTTATGAGTATGTAGTCAGGGGAATAGGTAGAATGAAGGGTACAATGGTAGCGCTTAGTTTCTATGTAGTTCCAAAATCTATCTTCTGCTTCAGTTACTTTAATTTTTTCTACTCTTTCAATAACTGTAATTTTATCCGGGTGGTTTTGATAATATCTACTAGCTGCTTCTGCAATTGTACTATCAATTTGTTTAATAAATGGCAAAACTTCCGACATTTGTTCTTCAGAAGGCCATTGTTAGTAGTAATTGTTTTGGGGACAAGAGGTAAAAAGAAGCACGGAGATATGTTAGTCACAGAATTCCAATTAGGCCAGACCCCCAATTGTCAGCCTCTGGGTAACTAACCTGAGTGTTTAGTAGTAAAAAGGTTGTTACTATGAGTTGACTGAAGTGTTTGAGCGTGGTGAGTGTTAGGTAGTGGGTGATTAATACCAGTCCTGTAAAGAGGAGGTTTCACTCTATCAGTATGGTCTTTACTGAGAGGCTTGCTATCAACAGCGCATCTGGATCAATACAAGGTATTAATAGGCATCCAGGGTACTAAGACTCACCTGGGATTGATTTGGTTCTTCCCAAAATGGAATGGGCTCACAATACTTATTAAGCTTTAACAAAATTAGTTGGGTATTAACGGCAACGGTGCCACAGATACGAGACATGTATTTGTATCGGATTGTATCGTATTTATTTTGAGCCTGATACCGGTATCAGTATTTCCTTGGTTGGTGAAAAAATACATTGTATCGGATTTGGATTTAAAAATGAAAAAAAAAAAAAAAATCGTCTTCGTTTTTTTCGTTTTTTCTTCAATACAGCCAAATATCTTATGTATCAAATACGGTTTTGGTGGGATCAGTCATCTGAGACGATACAGAATACATTTCTCACTTTTCAAATACGATACATGTATATGTCTCAGGAAAGTGAGACAACACAAATCCGGTATTTTTGGGTATTCCAATTCTGAGACGATACAGATAAACGCCTGATACCGTATCGTATCGTCTCTGTGGCACCGTTGTTAACGGGTATTGTTGATGGGCATATTCAGCAAGGCTATGAAGATTGTGGATAAGTTGAGTAAGTTGTACTGAAGCTTAAGAACAATAAAAGTAGACTAGATTTATGTTGGTTACGTGTACTGTATCAATATAAATGTTAACTGGTTTAACTGGTGTCTGAATATTCTGGGGATTAATCAGTGAAAGAGGCACGGATTATAAGTTCCAGAATATTGAAGGAGGGAAAGAATGAGCGCTCAGAATCAAGGGAGCTTTGGCCAGGAGAATGAGCACATCAATTGAGTGACTGATCATTATTTGTCATGATCTGTAAGTGACATCATAATTGGGTACTAGTTGATCAATGTACTAGTTGCTCTTGATGCGTGTACTTAACAGATCCTCTTAATAATGTAGTCATAATTGTGATCAGTGCATGTATTGAATGTATCAATTCTATTAACACTAAATACGTACTATTTAATACATGTACAGTGCCTAGACAGTGAAAAGTGGCTGCTTATTTTGGATTCCAGAGCTCCAAAGCACAAATTTGAAATCATGAGACTTGGTCAGGTGGTGCATAATAGGTTCCAAAAAATGAATATGAAATAATAAAAGCAAAAAATAAAGTTTCAAAATGTGTGAAAAATAAAAAATAAAGTTGATTTTTTCAAAAGCT